AAACCCTAAACCCCAAACCCCTACGGCTCAAGCATTTGGCTTAAAGGGTGTCCCTAGGAGCTTCTGTGACCTCTGGCCTTCTCGCGATTTCTTCTGCGCTCCTGGATCCGACTGGGTTCTTCATTCGCTGTCTTTGGCAACCCTTCGTTCGAAAACATGGCGGGGCGTGCCCGGTCTCCGACGGAAGTCTTCAACGATGACTCGGATGATGATCTCAACGAGACCCGGGTTGAGCCAAGTAACAGAGAGGGCGGGAGTGGCCTTGCTGGTCCTGTGCGCGCTTTGCGGTCAGTTCCGATGAACATTGACGATCAGGAGGGTGGTGACACCGGTGGTAGCCCAGGGCGTGTTAAGCGAGCTCGAGAAGTTGACAGTGACGGACGTCGTGCTGAACTTCGGCAACTTTCGCCCGGAGGTGAAGGTCCTGTTAGCTCTCGTGAATTTCGTCAACTGTTAGGTGAACACTTAGCTTCGATGAAGCAGTCCTGGCAGGAGATGCACACTAGGGTTGCGAAAGTTGAGAGTGCAGTGGTGGAAGCCAAGAATGAAAAAGACTCTGTCTTCTCTCGCCTCGCACAGACCGAGAAAAAACAAGCCGACTCCGCAACTAGGATGGACAAGCTCGAAAAGGACGTTGAAGCCCTCAAATCCAAAGCAGGAGGAAGTGGGGACGCAAACAGAGGTGATCTCGATCCTTGGCAAGCTTGGAGGGCACAACATGGACCACTTCCACCCAAAGGCGCTCCTGGGATGCGCGCACCTGGTCCTGCTCTATCTGAAGGACGTGATCTCGGCCAAGGACGTGATGAGCTAAGTGATGATGATAAACGTACCCTGGTCTTTGGAGGTTGGTTGCAAGATAGTAAAAAACAACTCATCCTTGAGGAGGCAGCTGAATTCCTGCAGCGACCCCAGGTGCGAGACCATGTGGATTCCAAGGACCTCAACGTGTTCGGTCCGAGGCGATCGTTTGGGTTGTTGCGATTCCAACAGAGGGAGGGTGAAGCAGCACAGGGAGTTCGAGACAGGATGTGGAAGGTGATTCAAGAACTACGGGCCAACCCGCAACGCCTTGCCTCGACTAGGCAATGACCAAGGGCGTCCTATGTGGGCACAGTTTGTCAAAACTCGTGAAGCTCGCCGTCGCAGTTCACATGCGTCGCTCCTCCGACGGGTGTGCCTTGGCTTGGTCAAGGACGCGGCAGCCAACAAAGAAGCACACAATGCCATGGCGCTGGAAGACGGGGCGTTTGACGTTGATTGGAGCTCGGGTACAATTTGGCTGGGGGAGTGGAAGATCGGGTCTTGCGTCCACCGTGCTCCTGCCAATGAGGATGTGCGCGTCCTTAGCTCGGGGTGGGTCGACGTTGGAGTTGCTGCTCGTGCCCTTGGAGTCGCGTGGGATGTTGCCCATGGCGCCTTTGAGAGAGAACTGTGACAGCATGGGACTGGATGTTTCACCGCTAATGATACAAACCTGGATTCTGGTGACTATGCACGTGGGGAGAAAGATGCTGAAGGCATGTTCTTCTCTCCGCAAACTCATACAAGAAGTACGAGTCGGTCGCTGATTTCCTGGAACTTGGGTGGACAATCTCTGACGAAGGCAGACGTTGTCGCTGGGAAGTTTGATCTTCTATGTGTACAAGAGGCTCCTCGTGATGTTTCGGGATGGCGTGAGGAACACACGGATGGTTTTGTTTGGCTACTTCATCAAGGTGATGGTCAATGGCGGGGGTGTGGAATTGCCGTGTCCCACGAACTCTTCGACTCTACAACGGATCGTGTCAGCTGCTCGTTTGGGGCCGCTTGGGTGGTTAGACTTAAGAACACTCAGCGCTTCGTGTTGGCCTCTTTGCACCTGCCGACAGGGGTGAATGTGACGAAATACTATCAAGCTACGACCATGGTCAGAAAGATGCTGCAGGGGTGGCACGAGGAATTGCCCTGCTTCGTAGGGGTCGACGTCAACACGGCACTGGTGTGGAATCGGGCGGCTGAGGAGGAGGGTGAGATCGGGCTTCAGTCGGGTGGGAAGATTGATAAGTTCCTTGAGATGATTGGGTGTTTGCGCCTTCGAATCCAGGCACCTCGGCTCATCGATCGCTGGGTGCCTACGCACTATCCACGTGATGAACTTCGTGATGGGCGTCACATCGACTGTATTCTCACTCGCGGGCTGGCATCCTCTGAGGTTGTTGTCGATCCTGATGTCCGTCTCCATATCAATACCGATCATGCGTTGCTGCGCTGCACCGTTGAGTTGGGACGTACACGAGGTGGAAGGTGGCGTGACAGTCGACCTCGCTTTGTTGTTGACCCTGACAGTGTATGTGCTCCGCAAACCTGGGAGGATGTGAAGCAGATGGCAAAGGACGTTTGCAAGCCTAGGGTCGTTCAACGCTTCAGTGACGACGATGAGACTAAAGATTGCATAGCCGAGGCCAAGTCCTATAGTGGCGTCGTCTCCAAAGACCTTTGGAAAAAAGTGCATGCCATGCGAAAGCAGAAAAAGCGGGATTGGCGTGAAGGACGTATCGCAGCTATCTTGGGAGGAGACTGGCACGCATATCGGCAACACAAACAAGCTCAAACGAAGCGAAACTGGTGGGGGCGTCTTCTCCGCGAGTGTTCTGCGCGTGAACTTGGACGGGATGTGGTTAAACATCTTGAAGCTAAGGTCCGTGAACCCAATTTGCACTGGGACCAAGTGCTTGATGGTCGCATCGATGAAGTCCAATGTAGGGATGAACAATTTGTGCCGATCCATGAAGAAGAGGTGTGGCGAGCCTTGTCTACCCTGCGCGCTGGTGCCTCCCTTGGGCCGGACCAAGTCGGGGTGGATTTGCTCAAAAAGATCATGCTGGTTGCGCCTGCCAGCCTGTGCCGTCTGTTCAACGATGTTCTCTATGATGGCCGCCTGCCGGAGGAATGGGGTGTGTCACTGCTTGCTTTGTTACCGAAAGTCCAGTGGCCCGAAAGCGTTAAGGACTTAAGGCCCATAGCAATGTCATCCAGCTCCATGAAAGTCCTGACGAAGATTGTCATGGGGCGTACGTTCTATTGGCTGAGAGATCCCTGTCCCTGGAGCGCGTCCGGCCATAGTAGATGCTGTGCTGATCTGCATGGTACCTTTGGGCGTTTGCGGGACATGACCAGGGAGTGGCGCCTCGGAGTCGTGGCGGTCAAATTGGACCTTGCTGAAGAGGGTGTGCCCTTTGAGCTCCGCTACTTGCTTCGCCTCCTCGCCGAGAATGACATGATGGGATGTGCGCCAGGCGGGGCGTCGGTAAGCATACGTGCCAATCGTGGAATCAGGCAGGGATCCCCAGAGTCGGCGGAGCTCTTTGGCCTCATTGTGGCAGCAATCGTCACTAAGCAGAAGGTGTCGCACAAATGGGTTGCCCCTGGTCCACCATTGGAGGATGTCCCAGCTGACGTGGGATGCTACCAGGACGATATCTTCCTGTGGGGTGAAAACCCGTACAAAATCGCCAAAAATATTTCCTTGCTTGCGGATGCACTACGTGAAGTGGGCTTGCAACTAGCGACCGAAAAGACCGCCATTATCAGTTCGAAGTATTACAAAGGGGTGCGACACATGATGGTGGATGGCCGACACGTTGACATGCTGCCCCTTGGCTCCTCACTCCGTGTTCTTGGCCTGGACTTCGACTTGGACGCACCAGCTCACCAACAGGCCAAGGAAGTTATGGGTCGTATCTGGTCAGCCTTCCACACCCACAAGACGCTTCTCTGTGGTGTAGGCACCAGAACTGAGAAGCAAAACATGGTACGTGCGCTTGTTGAGGGATGTTGGAGTTGGTGTGCGGGTGCTCTTCACTGGGAGGTGGACGACTTGCAGGCGATGAACTCTCTGCAGGTCAGGATCCTTCGTCTATGCTTTGGGTGTAAACGAAGGAGTGACGAAGACTGGCCTACGTATAATGCTCGATCTCTCCGTGACATCCGGGCTTGGGTGTATCGCCACAACGTTGAGAGATGGAGCACAAAAATCCTGAGGCTACAATTTCAACTCATGGGACACTGGGCGCGACATTGGGAGGGCAATGAACGAGGACTTCCTGGGCGTATGCAGAAGTGGCGTGACTTGAAATGGTGGCAGGGTGAGCAGCTTATCTCGCCTGAATGTGGGGGGCGTAGACACCCGAAGTGTTTCAGAGCGGCAAACCTTGAGCGAAGCATTGCCACTGTCCTTGGGCCCAATTGGGCCTCTGCTAGCACGCACCGTGAAGGGTGGAAACAAATGCTGCAGTTGTGGCTACGTGAAATGGACGTACAGTGGTGTAGGGGGCGTCAGCTCCAGTTGGACTACTAGCAACCGTATGTGATGGGAGGTTACTTTTCACTTCCTTGCCCTGAGTGAAGTTGAGTGCTGACAAGGGTGTGCGTTGTGAACTTGCTTTCCATGTTCAAGTTGTTCCAGCATCACGTCGACACAACAACATGACAGCAGCGTTTCAGGATGTTCTGACTTTATGAATGTGATCATGGATGTGCAATATCTGACAACAATGTTTCAGGATGTTCAGACTTCTTGAATGTGATCATGGATGTGAATCCTTTTGTACTACAAAAACTCAATTCGATCTACGTGCCAACATGGCGCGTCATGGGAGATGCCTCTTTTGGGCGACATGGATGGGAGTGCTCTGTGGGCTCCTCTGCGCGGCAACTATGACAAGTGCAAGTGCCCAGCCGTCATTGCCGCGTTCCTCTGCCTCTTCGACTGCCACGTCTTCTACCTCTTCGATGGATGTGTCTTCTACCTCCTCGACGGGTGTGTCTGCTACCTCCCCACTGGATACGTGTACTACTTCGAGTGCTGCCACCGCCGGGGAGGATGTGCTGCCTGAATGTCAACCAGGATGTTCGACCACGACCACGTCGTCCGGCGAGGTTACAGATGCCCAGCCACAGCCTGAACCGTATCCTGAGCAAACAGCAAATGCTTGGAACCCGGGTGAGTCTGGAACTCCGGGATGGAACGATTGGAGTCAGTGGGATGGGGTGGCTGCGGAAATCAGTCGCCAAGCCAGCGCCGCACGGGGTGCTGACCAAGCTAGTGGGTCGTGGCATGGACATAGTGAACCCGATGGGTGGGCTCCTAGTTGGCAGTCAGGCTACGGACAGCACTGGCAGGGAAGTGAACCACGTCCCTGGCAACACGCATGGGAAGCTGATCCAAGAGAAAGACGAGGGTGGAACAATGACTATGGTGGATGGCATGATGGACGTGACGCATATTCAGGGCAGTGGCCGAGTGATGGATGGTGGGGATCTGATGGCGATATGTGGCAGTGGAATGCAGCGCCGTCTTCATCCAGTTGGGAGACACCTCAAGGACATCAAGATAATCGTGGACGTGGCCATGCACGGGGTGAAGCCACCTCATCTTCGCAGGGTGGTGCCACCTCTTCGTCGTCGCACTATGATTGGGAACAAAGTCGGGCGTCCAGCAGTCATGAACACCGAGGCTCCGAACGACCCTCGAGTTCGTCGCGACCTTCGGGACCCATCGGCTCCGACCCTGGACCTCGAGGGCGACCCCCGACAGGATTTTGGCGATATGGGGTGTGGCACGCGCGCAGTCGAACAGAGTCGGAAGAACGGCTACATCGCGGCGGACAAGGACCTGTACGCCAGCAGAGAAGGCAGGCTCGTCTTAGTTCCTGGGAGGATGGGTCGTTTCGACCTGCTGTCTTCCACCGAGGAGTGCAACACCGGGATAGTGAAGCAGCCCGTGCAGCCAGAGCCCATTTTGCAACAGTGTTGAATCTTGTGCAGAATCCACCACGGGGTGTCAGACGTCATGCTGCTGCCCCTCCGCCCTGGACAGCGGCACAGTGGGAAGACTGGGCACGGTGGGTGGTTGGCAACACTATGGTGGTGGACTGGTCGAATGCGGGCGTTCCAGACCTTCGGGATGTCTACTTTGATGCGGACGACGATGGGTTCATGCTCCAGCTGTTTGAGGGTGATAACGCACACTTCCTTGAGGGTGACCAGGCCCACCTCATGCAGTTGTCGGAGGATGAGGAACGTGTTCTACATGCCCTACGTGTCCCAGATCATCTTCGCCGAGGCCTGCGTGACATGATGAGGACGTTAGACCGACATCAACAAGAAGATGAAGGGGCGGAATACAGGTGGGGACTGGGACGTTGGCTGCAATCCTGGACCCGAGGATGTCAAGACATACAACAGGTTGTTGACATGTTGGCACTTCGCTCTCAGCGTGGTGGGAGTGTACCCTATTTCCCGGTTGTCCGCACTCCGAGGGACCAAGCTATGCGGGCGCGCTGCGTTGCGTGGAACCGACAATGGAGCCACCTCATAGGACAGCTCCTCGAATGGTTGGTGGATGAACAAATGCGTGGTCGTGAACAAGAAGATGATATGGAACGTGTGGAAGCAATGTCCCTGGAAGATGTAACAACGAGAGGTCGTAGCCGCTCGCCGCCCACGGTACGATCCACCTCCTCTTCAAGCAGTCGACCGCGAATGCGCAGAGTGCCGCGTATAACGGGGAGCTCTAGCGGAGATGGACGTCGGGCCCCTGCTGCAGCTACGACTCCGGCTACTGGTCCTGTCCTTCCTGCAAGTGATGTGGGTGTTGGTGATGAAGGCGGGCGTGCAATACCGGTGGACAGCGATGTTGTGCCTGCAGATGAGGGACGTGGAACCGTTACTGTTTCGGCTGGTGCTGGTCATGGAGTGGTGGCTACTGCCTCTGAGATGGAGGATGTGATGCTGGTCCAGCTTCTTCAACCTGACGAAGCTCAACGGCTCAGTGCTAGGGGTGTCCGACGTGAAGCCATAGCTGCCTTGGGGCACCTGATTGGAGAACTTCGGCGAATTGGGCGTCGTGAAGCACCTGTAGATGACGTCGGCAGCGAGGATGTGGAGTGGTGTCTGCGGGTTGTTGACCTTGCTTTGACGCGGAGTATTGCGACGCAGAACGAAATAGCCACTATCCTCCGTCGTCGCTTTCGGGGTGAACGCTGCATGCTCCCTGACAGTGACACCAGAGGGGGTGTTGTGCAGCTTGCGCACCCTTTCGTGGTTGGCGCAGCTAGGGCGTTTCTCAATGGACTACATGACGAGCTTTCGGTGGCTTGGTTGGATCCAGATCAGCTACCGGAAGATCTGCGGGTGATGCCACCACATGACTTGGGTGAAGAGGAGGAAGAGGAGGAGGAGGCGGTAGCCTATGGCGATCATGGACAAGAAGGGCGTCTCCTACGTGTACCTGCCCCAAGTGACGCCGACAGGAGCGCCATGGAGGATGCTCCACTTCCTGATGCAGCAGGGGTGGTCGTGCAGGGGGACTCCGATGGCTCTCTGATGGCCACTGTGGCGGCTTCTTCGTTGCGTCCTCCGCGGGTGCGCAGTCGCTCTCCTCGGGGTGTACACGTTGCAGGACCTGCGGAACATGCGGAAGATGCTGGGGAGGCCGATGTGGAGCACGAGGATGGTTCTTTCATGCAGGTGCCGCCACTCAATGTTAATGAGGGTGAAGAACTAATGGACATGTGGGTGTATCGACGCTGTCGGGTTGAACTGAATGAGTTCTTGGAAACGCTACGACGCGATACCAGTGAGGACTGTCGGGATGTTGCATGGACACTACGGCACTACGGGTGGCTGCACATGTGGTCGACAGGATGGTGGCAGGACTGCAAACCGCTGGACGCCTGCTGCATGGACGTACTGTTGACGCTGGGCGTGTTCCACCACAACATATTCGTGAAAGGATGGTTGCCTGCCTAAGGGACGTTCTCCACCCCATGGTTGAAAACTGCCAGATGGTCGTGGACAGTGCTGTGGAGGAGGCATGGTTATCGCCCGATTTGCTCCCTCTCGTGGGTGTGCAACCCGAGACGCCTGCAACTCAGGCCGTGTCCGATGGCGTTCTGGGTGTATGTGGTCCTACTATAGCGGGTGAATGTAGTGCCTCGGTGGACGAAGCTGTCTGTGATGCTACACCTCGTGCTGTACCTTGCGCTTCTGTTCTACCTGTTCCCTTGGGCGTACCTCTGAGTGCTCCTGCTGGACAATGTGGACGTAATCCGCGTGCGGGAGTATCTCTTTGTGATCCTGCTGGACATCATGGACGTGATGATGCTGTGTGTGACCGGGTGTCTAGCGCCGGGGAGAGCGTGGATGTCGCTATATCTGCTGCCCTTCCTGCTGCTCTACCTCCGGCTTCTGTTCTACGCCCTCTTTTGGGTGTACCTCTGCGAGTTCCTGCTGTACCTCGTGGATGTGATCTTCATGCGGATGCGCCTCTACGTGATCCTCCTGGACATCAAGGGCGTCATGATGGTGTGACGGCAGTGGCTTCCGATACTGTGGAGATCGGGGGTGAGTCGGATGCCAGCCTGGTGCTGCCTGATGAGACTGCTGTCGTTCCTCATGCTCTACCTCCAGCTTCTGTTCTACCCCCTCCTTCGGGTGTACCTCCGCGAGTTCCTGCTGCACCATATGGATGTGATGTTCCTACGGATGCGCCTCTACATGATCCTCCTGAACATCTAGGATGTGAGGTTGATGTGCCTTCGGACACTGTTGAGGTCGAGGGTGGATCTGATGCCAATCTGATGCTGACTGATGAGATTGCTGATGACGGGGATGTTCCTCATGCCTGCAGTGAGCTGGGGGATGTAGAGGCAGAAGTGAGTGGGGCTCTCCCGACATGTCCTGTCTTGGCTGCGAGTGTTTCGCGTGCTGAGACATCTGTAGAAAGAGAACGCTCTCGTAGTCCAAGGAGTGTATCTCCTGAGGTAAAGGATGTGTGACATTTTGTTTCACCGTTGAAGGCCGACAGGGCCAGTACCGACTCGACAGGTGGGTGCATTTCAACTTTAAAAAAAAAAAACCCCAAACCCTAAACCCTAAACCCTAAACCCTAAGCCCTAAACCCCTAAACCCCTAAACCCTAAACCCCTAAACCGAAGAAGTTGGGTCAAGGCTTCGTCCCATGTACATAGGCTCCCTGGCACGGCGAGGATCCGACGTCATCCTTCAGCCCAGGCCCTAAACCCCGTCAGCAGTGAGCTCTAAACCCTGAAGTTTAGGGTTTAGGGTTTAGGGTTTAGGGTTTGGGGTTTAGGGTTTAGGGTTTAGGGTTTAGGGCTGAGAAAGCCGCCTGAGGTTTTTACTCACGGCTTTTAGGGCTAAGCCCCGAACCCTAAACCCTATAAGCTGTAAAGCCCAAGCCCTAAACCCTAAACCGGCCTTCCTTCTTCACCGTACTGATGTAGGGCTGCTGACGCTGGATCTTTCGCACCGCTCTTTAGCCCCGGACTGAGCCCGATACCACCAACCCTACACCCTAAACCCTTACCCGAAGCCCTATAAGCCTTAAGCCCTAAACCCAAAGTCCCTAGACCCTAA